AGTAAAAAGTCGAGCGTTACCCTCGCCCGGCGGTGGCTCTTGTTGGTTCAATTGATACCATGTTCATTACCATTGTTCAATGTTGGCACCAGTATTGCAGGAAGCGAACTCTAACATGGTTAAGCTCCGAGAACTTGTTTCTCAATCCAGCTTAATAAACATGTGTTAAACTGAGTGCTAGAATTATAGTTACCTTGACCTTTGATACCTTGACCTTGACACTATGCTAAAAGGTCATAGTTCTCAAGGTGTTTGTCTCTCAATCGAGAGCTGGAAGATTAGAACCCCGCTTGGATCATCATCATGACATCTCATATGAAAGACTGGGTAATACAAAGGCGCATACTTAGGAATAACAGACTATTCTTCCTACCCCCTGACGGCTATACCCTCGTCTAATTCCTCCCCTAAATGTTCTCATCAAAGTTCTGCTTCCCAACAATTTTCTTTAATTTGTTAGTCGAACACGATATCGTTCTGATTATTCGGTGGAACCATTATGATATAATAGGTTGTGCATTTTTTTTTTAGTATTACATTTTGAATTTGTTCAATGCAATACAATAAAGATGAATATTGACAAGTAAGTCCGAGTAGCGTAGTGGTTAGAGCGTACAAGATACAGTGTAACTTCTGAAATCCGGAACTTCTGAAATCCGGAAACTTCTAAAAACCGAACATTTTTGTCGGTCCCGATTTTTTCCCTTCTATTTTCTATTAATATAATACTTCTGAATTCCGGAACTTCTAAATTCTGAATTCCGGACGATATTAATCTCCCTATCGATTGTTCAATTGCAACTACTCGGCCCTTTCCGTCAGTCTTCGGATAAGGACCTCGAACACAATAGTATGAATACACAGAACGGATGCGGTATTTCGGTCTAACCTACGCTAAGAAACTAAACATGTAAACGATTAGTAATTTGATGCTGGGAGTTCTTGACATGTTTATTTCCAATATATGTAGTAAAAGTCGACCTAATATAAGTGAATTCATAGGTACAAAAGCAAACAATACAGTATTCATATATTTATTATTATGGCTGTAGAACCGAAAGTACAAAAAACAAACCTGTTGACATTTAGTCGGATTTGTTTAAAATTGAACATCAGTGGGCATGTTTAAATAACAAATTGTTGTCAGACATATTTTCAAGTATAAGAGTACCGGAACAGACATTAGATGTCAAATATATACATTCGTTTTACATTGTCTCTGTTTCTGTTTACATCTGAAACCACGTGGTAGAACTACTTTTAATCTGTATTGTTTCCGAGGTTATTATAGACAATAGCCGAGGCAGTTCCGAATGTCGATTGTTTACTAATTAGCGGTGATTGTGTAATTTGACACGCGTTAAAATCACAAACTGTGAAATGGTATGTTTGAAGTGATGCGGTTAATCAAAGTAATTTACGGCGGTCAGTTAATTTGAAGTGTTTATTAGCGGATTAAATAATAATTAATTGGACAATGTATGCACCAAACGTCTTAAGGATTTTATTGCATTTGATGTGATAATTAATTAACTAGCATCGGACGATATGTAAGTTTATGCAATTAACAACATTTCTACAAACTGATAGAAATTCAAAAGCATTTGCAGCGAAGATAAAAATGTACTTGCATTCACATCTTTATCTTGCTTAAAAGATATTACAGTAATGGTCACATCTTCCTTGACATTTAGTGATATTAGGTGGCATAGTCTTGTCCACATTATCATAAACCTCTGAATTCCGGAAACCTCTGAAATCCGAACTTTTTGACAAGTCCCATGGGTGTTCGGTTTTCGGAAGTTACACTGTACCTTATCACATCATATGTGCTCGCAATAAAATAGATGATTTAAATTGTAAGCCATTGTGTCATATCATAGGAACTCGTGAACGGGACCGCAGATTGCTGCGCATATTTGCGATTAACGTAACGGTTTTTAAAAATGTTTCTGCTACATCTAAATATATTTTGTATTATCCAAGTATACGACCTCAAAAAATATATTATCAATTGAACAGTTTTTGTTATTTTCAAAAGTGGTCAAATTTTTCGGTTTTATAAAAAAGACAAGGAGTGACGTCCGTCATCTGCCTCAATGTTCGGCATGAGTTTTCTCCCTTTGACTACATTTTTTTCAGAATTTTGTTCCCGTTGTCAACTATCAGGTATCGTCTGGCTATAAATCATGGTTTATTATCGCCGTTCCTGGACAGCGATAAATACAATTGACAAGATTTAAACAGGTCTACCTGTACACCGCCTGCCTTTAGCCAATCAAAGTGAATAATTCAATATCATATGATAAGAAAATGGATGTAAAAAAACTTTAATGAGGGATTTTTAAATAGACTCGCCCAATCGCCATGTTTTGTCGGGTTACTTATTCGTAAAACAGAAAAATACTTTTATCAATGTGAGAACTCAGTACCAGTCTTTAGTCTCTTGCCGGATAAACACAGCAAATTGCAATAATTTTTTCTACATGCCATTTTTGATAATAGAATCTTAATAAAGTCTTAATAACAGTATATTTTGTTTTCTTTCAAAAACTGGCACTTAAAGAAATGCTTTTTCCAGGCGAGTTTAATACTATGGTTGTTTTATTGCATCATTATACCTATGATATAGCAGGTCAGTTATAGTCCGTTTCAGAAAAAAAATCGCAAAACAGTCGACGGAGTATAGAACATAAATTCCATTTAAAGAATGTTCACAGACATCATTTTTAATGTGTAGCAAGTAACTGTTGTTAAAAATTACGCAAGTAGCTTATTATTTTTGCCGATTGATGCACTGATTAAGTAGCGCATGTAGTCTAACTAATTGAACTACGCGTTTAGTTAGTGTGATATTTTTGTTATTGGCAATATCTCCTACATTCTGACCCAGAACAAAAAAAATATTAGAATATAACTGAGCAAGTCTAGAACGGAATGGTAGAGTAAATCAAGTTTTGTTGGCTTTATGCGATGACCACACGAAATAAAGGTATTTGGCAAGAAATGAAATATTATTTCTATAGTCATGGCTGAACGGCGATTCCAAGCATTTTTGGAAATGCTAATACTTGTTGTGTACACGTGTTGACATGTATAGGCGGCATAATAACGGGCGTATTCGTGTGGGCGTATTCGTGTTTTGATTTTTTAACATGGAGAAAACAGACACTTTAGTAATATGGTCCAACTGTGAAAAAAGGAATATTTAAACATGATCCATAGATAAATATTTTAGGCACTCAATCTGGTATTCATTATTAGGAAATGTGAAAGTTTTACATGTATTGAGTGGCATAAAGATAGTATGAATCAGTCAACAGTTATTTGCCTTTCGTTGACAATAAGGAAGTAAATCCGCATAAAAGAGTGCCTGTGTTTAATGCCAGATATAAATGAATAATTGAATAAAAGAGATAGAAATGGGACATTTTCTGACATAATTCATTTCAAATAGTTGTAAAATACCAATTTTGATTCAGATTTTATGTAAGTAAGTATTTTTTAGTGTTTTTCCTACATGACAGAATTCACATGGTTCCGGCCGATTCCTGAAAACTGTCAGACTGATGTATTTTGCACTGAAATGCTGTGAAAAAAATTCTGCATGACCCCTAGTTTGCTATAGCTGGAATTATTTATCTTAGATGATACTATAAGTACAAGTGACTTTGATTTGATTGAAGAGTTAGTAAAATTGCCACAGGGTTTAATGTTTATAGAACATACATGTATAGTGAAATTAATTCAGGTCTGAGGCCAGTACTAGAAAAATTAAAACAAAAATCAAGCATATCGAGGGGGTAACTTATGCCGAACGTTGCGGTAAATGGCGGATGTCACTCCTTTTTTTTTTCAATATACCGTAAATTTGACTGATCTTTAAAATGAGATTATATAATTAATGACCACCCACTCGCATAATATGAAAAGATATTCAAAGGTCGGACAAACACTATGAAAAGCCGGTTAGGATTCGGATTTATGCGCCGCATTATACTGTCCTGTTCCAGAGTTCCTATGGTGTCATGCGTAAGACAAAATATCAATTGAATTGTTTTAAACTTGAGATGTGAAATTTATATGCATGACAAAAACACAAGGTAAAAAATATATTATTTTATAAAATGTAATGCTGGGAGTTGAACCAGCACCATTATAGTTGAAATACCAGCTCACAACGACTACACTACAAAGTATATCTTGCAAAGAATATGATCAAAACGTATAATTATACTATCCATACACACATAACTTACAATTTCGAAGTGTACTGATCCATGATATATTTACAACGGTTACGAAATAATGAGCAATGCTAAAAAAGACTTTAAGTTACTGTCCCACATAAAACGGGTCTTAAAACATCAACATATTTTACAGGCATTAAATATGCATAGAAGTCTTTGAATTTTTCATGATGTAACTGTGACAGAGCGGTTGTTATGTTTTACTTGACATATATGTATATATCCCTTTTATCTCATCCGTTAACTTGTAGTGAGAAGTAGAAAATAGCCATGATATATTGTGCAGCAATCGATTGCAGGGGGGGGGGGCACACCAAGCGCAAAATTAAATTGTTCTACTCGCAACCAACTGATCTATTTGCAACTTATCAACGAATGCGTTTATAATTTAAGTCAATATTTACAAAATAAAATTATTGTTATTATTGTGTACATAAATTAAATACAATATTAACTATACAATTTTGTTCTGATTATAGAACATGTTGTATTCTAATTGTCAAGAGCAAATAACACTTTGTCTTGTTTTAGTTTAATACAACGTATATTTATAGATTTCCTGTCCCGAAACATTATCTTTTGCACCAGTGTTAAATATTAGTATACTTTGCCCTTAGATAGAATGATACAAATGCATGCATATTAAAACCATTTGTTCAGCTGTCTATGTAAATAAATATAAAAACATATTAAAAATGACATATTTTACAAACGTACGAATAAAGTCTATTACAACAATTTAAAACGCTATACTAGTTTATGTTTTTTTTATTTCACAATTATTCCATTCATTACCATTTAAATATTAATACAAAAGACATACATGTACACATAAAATTATGAAATATTATACAACGCTATAAGCGGCTCAAATTATAAAAACGTTATAATTCACATTATTTTATATATTTGTTTAAAGCCCCACGTCGTCCAACTCTCTAGACATCTGACAAATTGCGCAGGGTTCACATAACAAAGTTGTTAGAAAATCTTCAACAATGGAACCCTGCAAAGATATTAATTTTAAACATATTTATTTAAGCTAGATTGTGAAACAAGTTCTTGCAACTTACATTAATCACTTTTGTGCCCGCTTCCTGGTACCGACCAGTACTGGTGGAATATGAAGAAACATTGTTTCACCAGGTTTGGGCTCGAACCCATGATCCTGTGTTAAGAGACAGACACTTTAACCACCAGGCCCCACCGCTTCCCTTGAAAAGATATTGAATATAAAGATATGTGTCACTTATTCGATGCATGCGCCTCTATGTTTTAAAATAAACAAAGAACGAATAAGTTATACCAATTATTTTCACCTTTCGATAACTCAGTTTTCATAAAATTGAGTGTGACAAGTTTTTGCATTTTATAAAGATCCAATATAAAACAGAGTTGGTTAAAATCTGTATATAACGTGAAAGTGAGCTTATATTTTGGATAGTTTAGTATTTTTGTTAGAAATTTAATGCAACGGGCCTATATCGTTTGATTTCTACAATACAAAGTCAAATGTTTTGTACTTAAGGACGAAATTTTAAATATGCACTCTTCAGTGACAGTCACTTCATAAAGAACGGACACAAAGTTCGGCAAATATACATTTTTTGGACGTAAGCATTAGTTACTTTAGTATGTAATAATTTTATGATAGACGTCATTAAAATTAAAAACATTTTTTTTTAAATCTGTTAACTATGTAAAGCTTTTAAAATGGCATTTACTTTATTTGATGAATTAAATTGTTGTAAGGGATATACTTATATCTAAAATTGAAATGTCTTGAATTTGTATCACAACAACAACTACTGTACACAATATCGAAATGTTACGCATTTAAATATAGTTAGGTATGTTTTAAAGGTTTATCATTTTGACGGTATCCCTTTTTTATCGCATGGCTTTGAACTACTTACCCATTGTATAGTCTGATTTTATTGACCTGTCAATTATGAATTCATTATAGGACTCATTGAAATATTCGATCCCACTTCGGTTTGGTCCGTGTAGTTTACGAGAATTAATGTGGAGTATACTAGTTATGGATTGAAAGTCACGCCAGCTTAATGTGAAGGTTTTCGTTAATTCACAATAGGACAGTCGGTAAAGAGAATGCCTGATAATTGAGAGGTCTGTGGTTCGATCCTCACTGTTGCCATTGTTTTAGTATTCTTTCTTTATTTTTGCAGTATATTTTAATGAAAGAGATTTGTAGTGTGTTTTACGGCATTGAAAAGACATTTATTGATTTTAATCCGTTTTAATTTTAAACATGAATTCTTTAAAAAAAACTTGTTATTTGAAAATAGTATATACATAAGAAATTAAGTAAAACATAATAAAAAAATGAACAACATAAAATAATCATATATAGATTCAATAATGTATTAATAAGAAAAAAACATGGACCAACGCGGCCTCGAACATAAAGCACGTGTGGCACTTAGATTAAAAACTCGTGATTTACCCTATTGCGCTATAACGCTGAGTACACTTAGTTTACAGATACAAATTAAATTAAAGTCCATCGTACAGCGTACATCTCACGGAACTTACCGAATATCTAGCGAAGATTAATATAATATGTGCATCGACCGTGTAATCAGTATGTAATTGACAGGTTAATAAAACCAAACAATACTCGGTACACTTCAATGAGCATTTGAAAACTCTATTGATATATAGCAGTAATGACTTTTCATTTATTCATATAGGAAAAAACTCCACTGCTATATAGCTGTTGGTTTTTTTTCGCACCTTGTATATGAAATTTTCTCTCATTTAATCAAAAGGTACATCCGCTGAATGAATTATTTCCACTGAAAAAAGCCCTTTAATCTTGAATCAATATTGGTAACAGGTAACAATCCGCCTCTGACATTGGATGTCTTTTGTATATCTTTTCCTTTTTGCGGCAGCGAAAACAACTTGAACAAACTGCCTTATCATAAATAACTGTAATGAAGCTTACGATTTATTTATTTATTTCTATTACAACAATGAAAACATAATGCCATTGCGATAAAACAGTTATATATATTATAGTATATGAAACTCGTTAGTTAAGGGGAATAAAACACTCGGCATGTTTCTGCAAAAAATTATCTCTGCCTAACGGCCTTGCCATTTTTTAGCAGAAACATGCCTTGATGTCGCCCCAGCCAGTGTTTTATCCTCGTAACTAACTCGGTTTATATACTATAACTATTACAAATAAAACCATTAGAAATTGCAGATTTTGAGATAGTTCCAGATTGGGGAAATTATGCTCTATGACATAGCAATACTGTCGTAAATGTCATTTAAAGGCACGCCTACTGCGCTCAGGACTTAAGCCCGCCAAAACATGATCGTCTGATGAAAACATATGAAATGAATCAAAAGTTTTACAAAGTCTAACCTTAATTCCAAATAACGTTCTAACTTTCACCCTCAATGCAAATGTTGCACAAGGTAGGAATCCCATAAATGGCGTCTCCCCTAGACGTATTGCTGCCATATATTTGTGATAACACCAACAGCAGTACAAACTGCATTCTGAAATATTAAATGTAATTGTAGGAGTAATCGTGTTCTCGCTCCGCGACCCCGCCAAGCGAAAAGTCGAGAATTGACGAGTTTAAATGGCGGGGGCGCGGAGCAAAAAGTCACTAATTCGCGAGGCGCGGGCGAAATTTAAGAAATTAAACTTCGCCCGCGAAATTTAAGAAATGAAACGGCGGGTTACGAGCGAAAACACACTTATAAGCGGAGGCGTGGGACGAAATTTAATGAATAAAACTTTGCCCGCGCCCTTGCTTATAAGCGTGCTGTCGCCCCGCGACCTCTCCAAGGGAAAAGTCGAGAAAAAACATGTTCAAATGTCGAGGCGCTAAGCAAAAACACGCACATTAGCGAATACGCGTGGCGAAGTTTAAGAAATAAATGGGTGGTGACACCTGGTCTTACATAATTAAACCCTACAATAATTATATAAGTAAAATTTAACACTTTTTTGCATAAGAGATTTGAGAGATACATAAATGGTGTTAAAAAGAAAGTAAAATGGGATAAAAAAGAAAACAAAGTTGCCCGTTTGGAGGTTTGAACCCAATCCCCTCAGTTTCAATGCAGTGGACAGTGATTCTAGCCTATTCAAATACTCTTAAAAGTTGAGGTTATGCATTAGGAGTGATCTACATTCAGTCGGCACCGCCTTGCTCATCATTTTACCAGTAAGATGACAACTGTGTCACAGCGACTGGCTTGGTCGAAAATATGTCCTTAATGTTAAAACATCGACTTTTATTTCCGCACTCTGAATGGGGGGATTTAAACTTTTTACTCATCGTGCGCCTGTGTCTGCATGTGTGCGTCTGTCCGTCCTGGAATCTATAGTGTTTCTCCATGAATGATTACGGTCATGAAATTTTACATGAACGATGGTCAGCATTATTTTATTGTGCACCTGGGGTTTCGCTTGTCGATTCGAACAGTCATGCCAGAGTTATTGCCCTTGACTCAAATCAGAAATTGTCAACTTGTGTCGCGTGTAGCTGTAACAGTTTTTTTAACTAAGGACATGGACATTGAACTTAACATGAATGTAGTTGTTGCTGACACACATGTGACGTATATGTTTATATTTTAATTTGTTTGCATTTTGGTAAGTCATTTTTATGCGCATATTGGTAAGTGAGAAACACGTTAAGGTAAGCATAGAACAACTCAATTCAACCGAATGTTCCTTTTCGGGTGGAAGGTGTGCCATTTTCGACCGAATAATGTCACACGTGTTACAAATTCGAACCGAGTGTCACACGTGTGACATGTATACAGTCCATGATATATAAGGCCCACACGGCGCAATCTGGTATTTTCTTATATCTCCGTGTAAATGTTGCTTGATTCAGTACTATATATGACAGTTAAATTCATTTCGTAATTAAAAACACATTTTAGTTTACTTTATGCCAATAATATAACGCTTATAAGAATATATGGAATAATGATAAAAAACGACTTATTTCGCTAGAAAAAATATAATTGAGTGAAAAGATATCAAAAGTTGAAACAGTTTTTTTTATAATACCAAATGCGGCAATTTGAGTTCAAACTCAATCACTAGGAAAATAAAAGAGAACTACTTAAGGAATAGCATAAAACACATTTATAGATGGGATAAATTGTTATATGTTATCATACTTGTTGAATTACCCTCCTCACAAGAATACAGTTTTGTTTTCCAGTCTCTTTCACTTAATGTGTCATCAAAAGACGCCGGTGTTACCATTCGACCTTGAGCTTTACTGTTTGACCTTTCTGTCTTAGGTTGAGCTGTCACAGGGATTTCATCACTGGCTGTAAAAGAACCACCTGTCATCACAACTGTTTCGTCATTTTGAGCTGAAACGATCATTTGCGGCATATTAATATTTTTTCTGGCCAACCTCCACAAGCCTCTTTAAATAAAGGGACTGAGTTTATTTTTACATACTAACACTGGAAATATTTTTCCGAGTTTTAAAAACCATTTGATGTGAGTCCATACCAATACATGTAACGTGCGTTCAATGTTGTAGATCATTCCTTTCTTCCGAATGGAGCTCGTTTAAGTTTGCTGTGTTTTGAATACATTACTTTTTAATGAATTCTTTTTTTTTTCGGTGTTATCATTTATTGTTGAAAACATGTTTTAACAGTTTTTCATTGATTTATTTTAAAGCTAGGTAGTGGAAGTCTCCCGGCCCCTTTTCTTTTTAGCTCCGTAGTTTAGAATAATATCATTTTTCTAGGAATTTCGTCTGTATTATCTTCATAGTATGTTATGAAGTACGAGTTTCGTCAATGCAAACTTGTAATCGAATCATAGTAAGCTTTTGCAGGTTTGCTTGCTCTTAATAATAAAACAAATTTATTAAAATTCGTTTGTAAAATTTTGTTAATTTCAGGTGGGCCATTTAATAAATAAAAAAATACAAAAATTTTATTCCTATTTTCCCAATTTAGGGTTTAAAGAGGTAAATTAATATACTTAAATTCGTTCTTGGTTTTAAAGGGTGGGCATCAACGGGAAACCCAAAAAAAATTTAAACAAAAGCAAAAAGTGGGGGTTTTTTTAACAATTTTTTAGTATTTTTTAAACCCTTTTAAATCTTTTTGAGTGCGCGAAACATAAAATATTCACATCATCTAAACCTCAAGTTATATACTTCTTCCAAAACATCTGTTACGTAATCAGTATCAAAATAATCAGTCTGATTCAGAAAACACCCTTTTATCTTTAATATAAACTATAGATGTTATCTATATAAGTATATACAGTGTCTGACTTTATTTAACCATTAACTGTCTTAAGAAATGACGTAAGAAGACAGTTATCTTTATATTAAAATATAATAGAATTTGTATTTCAAAGTCATTTCTACACGAAAACTATAAAACATAGTTCGTTTCCTGCCAAGAATTTATATTTCGCTGAGTCATACATATGTTGTTTATATCTTCATCACTGGCAGTATATACTTAAAACACAGAGAGCTTCACCAGCCTTTAGGCTTATCAGTAAATCTTCAATGAACAAACTGAATTGTTTCCTATTTAAATCATTAATCGAGTAAACAAAAAGTGGGGTAACTTGATTATTAGTTTAAGGAACATGTTCTTCAATTTATAAATCAACTAGTACAACCAGAATAATAAATAATACAGTCAGGCATGTCTTCTAAGACTCCTGTTGGATTTGACTCCATCTCAAAATTGTTCAAATGCACTTGAGAGTTTACTTCTTGATTTAGGAAAATCCTGGTTTTTACATAATGAATTGTAGAGAAAATGAGATGAGAAGGTAAAATATAGTAAGGAAAAACACCAATGTTCGGAGACTTTTTACTGAATTGCGTTTGAATTTAATATCTTATGATCTATTATATTGTTGTAAAGCCAGACGACCGATGAAGACATATCTGTAATATTAACTGTAATGCAATGTTTTGCCTTTAAAAAAAACTACAATGTTATGCATTAAGGTTACTGTGTTATAATAATGATGTTTGAAAAAAAAGTATTTAAATTCAATTTGACGTGTTCAAACGGACGCAAAACTCACTCTGCTGCCCATAAAACCAGAGTGTTAAAATACATTTTAGCGTACTGATATATGTGATACATGTACACATAGGTGCCGGAACGGACCACTGGTTTTGTAATAAGGCATTACAAATCATTCACTTAACCGGCGGAAAATAGTAGCGACGTGTTTCCGCTAGCGATAACAAATTAAATGATAGCTTTCTCTCACAGTGATATTTCTCAGAATTAATGACGAATGAAACATGAAGGATATTGAATGACAAGCGTTGGTGGTAAAACGGCCCTAACATCAACAGGAATATTTCATCATAGAGAGGGAAATTGCACGCGCGTCTGCTAAACATATTAATGCAGGAAAAACACCACTGATGTTTTACAAGCGGAACTATTTAGACAAGTGTATCAGGATACATTTTAATGTATAAAAAAAGAATTTGTGTACACATTTTGATAAACGTCTGAGATAAAAAAGGCTACTCGTTGTTTTCTTTCGACGATTAATTACTGTTCCTGTACATGTAGATCTTTCTTGTTAAAACCTACATTTTCTTTATGTTTTTCTTCTTTTAAAGGTAGAAATACATTAAATGCAAATGATGAATACTGAATGACTGGCTTAAGTTTAGAGGAAGTGTTACCATTTGAAACACAGATTTTATCATAAAGCATAAATTGACAAAATTACCTGCCATGATCTTGTCTTGAAATAGTTGTAAAGTCCTCAATTCACGTACAATGGAATGGTGCAGAGAAACAAGGTTATCGCCGAGTATGATGTAAAGAAATACAAAAAGTCCGACATACAAATTCCGGTCTTATCCTTCAGTTCGCATCGTATTTTATATCCTCTGAAATATAAACACTACGTCTTTAGAATATATGGTTAACTATACGATATCAATTTATGCTAGATGTAGAAGAAAAAATGAAAAGAATACACACGCGTTTTTGTCCTATAATCCAGTGCAAGTGTACACAAAAGAGAAGAGAAAAAAGAAATTTCTATCCGCACATTTCGCACGTGTTAAGAATGGGAGAGTTATACGGGCCAGTTATATGCGCTGGTAAGTCAAACGCTTACAGGTAATCATATCGTATCAGACGCTCGCCAGAACATTCCAGGCAAAGAGGCCTTTGAACTAATCATTTTATATCTGTTTTATTTCATCTCTTACGAGCGTTCTTACAAAATTTCGGCTGCTTGCAAGCCGAACGCAATCGTCATATTTCACTAGAATAACTACATGTTACATGTAAATTTTTCTCGGAAAGTACAAGCCATTGTAAAGACAATATTACATGAAACACACATTGTTAAGCTGTTTACATTAATAAATGTATGATTTATTGCGTATTCTTATAATTATAAAAAAAAATGTTTGCATTTGTTTAAACTCAATGCACAATCATGTAGCTAATTTTAAAACCAGGAGATACTAAAAGTTTTGTGTTTTCGAGATAATATTTTTTTCGAGAAAAATATATCATTAAATCACGAATTTTAAAGTAGAACTGACAGATCTATACAAGCATCTATTTTGTATTCTATGTCAAAATATTACGTAATAAATAAATATCTTATTAGTGAAATATCTCTACTTTTAACAGTAATATAATTTATATTATACCGTGATGGGATACCGAGCCATAAAGAACCACAAGCGGTTGATACGTTTGGGCGTTTAGACCAAAAATTAATCTTTATCAAGCTGTCTTGACAAAATCATCCGTCATATTTCTGCAAAATAGAAATTACTTAATGAAAAGCGAACAACAGTGCAGACCAAACTGATGTGGGTGGGGTTTTTTGGGGTTTTTTTTGCACTGGTCGCATGGGCAGAATGAGTTTCCGTCAGCAAGCATATTTTTTGTAAAGTATTCACTTTTGAATCTCAATATAAAGGGAAAGGGTTTTAGAAATAATTAAGTGTATTTTGATATGAAATGTTTAAACAATATTAAACATCCCAATAATCAATTTTCCCTGAATTGAAGAGTTACTTATACTATATCAGGAAGTGCTCCAATCTAAAATATACAAAGAGTATACTTACTGAGAATGAAACTAGTTCAAACATACATATAATATATGTCTTTAATACATATGTTCAAATAATGCCTCATCATCAAGTAGAAATTTCCGAAATATGCTTAGACACGGCAATCACAAATGTTGCTTCTATTTGCTCATACATGTATGCAGTTATCATATTGTATAAAGTTGGTTCTAATAGTGTGCATTATATTTTATCAGAAATAGTACATTTGTACAATGTATGTTTATATTTCATTCAGGTGAATTATGACAAACAATAAATTAATGTTAAATGTCGATTATGTACAAAACTGCTGATCTTTTTGTATCTCTATGCATGTATTCATTTCATGTATATTAAATTGTTGCTTATTTGTCAATATGTTATCCTCATGGATGTAAGACATTCTGGAATTAACATAAATAAAATCATATAAAAGCATTTGATAACGCCGAGTAGTGACCGGATCCCAGAAGTCAGCGGCGTAATCCCTTGACATAAAACGCGGTTTAGGGCCGTTTAAACTGTTGAAATGAAATGATATAAAAGAAGAAAAATTTCTACCAGTTTGGTCATTCTGATATTGAGTGTCAACAATTTTCATTTATTAGTATATTTATTCACGGTAATAAAATAAAAAAGAGTGACATATTTTAGAACAGGGAAACTTAAATTCACCGTATTACAACAAAGCATTTTGTTTAAAAGAAATAGTTATAAAGTGGATAAAGCTATAAATGATCTCAAAATATTGAACAATATTTTATGTAAAGCAACGCATAACAAATAGAACAAATGTAACCAATATTCGATTTTCTTGATCATTACTATGCAGCGAAATATTTACTTTTATCTAGTTTTAAGTGCAGCCGTCAAATTATTTGTAATCTAATATGTATCTTATTTCGTATAACTCATTTTCTGCACAATTTTGATACAATAGTAACGCTTGTTTCAAATGCAAATATATTTCAAAAATCACTGACCAGGAATTGAGATTATTTCTATTACTTCAAGCCAACCAACGTTTTTAAGTTTTAAAGGGGGAAACAGGCAAAATTTTCGTTGCTTCATTTTGAATTTTTCATTCGTTATTCTGTAAATGTTCTCAAAATAAATACACATGAACAAATCTTTTCTCATTATAAAGTATCAAATGATGGTTTTCTAACCTGACCCACGTGGGTCAGGTTAGAGCGTTAAGATTTCACAGTCAACTTAAGAAACGTTAAAGAACATCTCAAATGAATGACTTGAACTTGTTTCAATCATACAATATCCACAATATCTGTTTGTTCAAGCCACAAAATGTGTTTTAAAACTACTCGGTGATTGCCGGCTTCTAACTTTCGTTCAATATAATATATGGATAAATTTACGCTTCAAACCCAAAATATAAAGAATAAATACAAATTTTCATGCTTGGATTAAAAAATGTCATTTTAGCGTGATTTGAGATCATAAGATCATTTTGATATTTTTGTCATTAATTCATGGTGGCTGATTTGTGCCATTCGTGTTTTCGCCCCGCGACCCCACCTAGCGAAAAGTCGAAAATTAACAAGTTAAAACGGCGGGGTCGTGGGACGAAAACTTCGCCCCGCGCCCTCGCTAATAAGCGTGTTTTTGTCCCGCGAACCTGCAATTTTATTTCTTAAATCTCGCTTCGCGCCCATGCAAGACGAAGTTTTATTTATTTAAGTTCGCCCGCGCCCTCGCTAATTTGCATGTTTTCGCTCCGCGCTCCCGCCATTTTAACTTGTTCATTTTTGACTTTTGGTTTAGCGGGGTCGCGGGTCGAAAACTCGAATGACACAAATCAGCCACCACATTAATTGGCCTGATTATCCCTTTAACATGATATTTGTAATCTGTCACACATAACATAATCCAGGCACATTATTTTATGTGATATATCAGCTTCATCTCCGCTGTGGTCAGGTCTGGTGCTACTGTTCGGACATTATATTTTGGACAACATTAGTAAAGTGTGATCCGCAGGCAATTTTCTGTTCATGTCAAGTTTAGTTTTAATTGTAAATTTGTTAAAGATAAAATCAGATGTTTCTTTAATGCGTCCGTTATCTGGGTCTGCATCAAATACTATCTTTCACACTTACCTGACCACCACCATGTCCTCAAGGCTTTGAATGAATATATCCGAAACAATCCGAACATATCTAGTCAGAGGTTGACTGCATTACATCTTAATAAGGACTCACTGTTGTTTTAAAGAAGGAAAAAACAAACAAAAAAGCAACAACTTTAAGTATTAGCATGGATTTCCGAGTATTACAATCGTTTACTTTCATCGGATTACTTAACTGCATTTTAGCGTCTAAGGTAAGTTTATATACTCTCTTGATGATATATTATACATTGTATATATGAAAATATGATCAACAATAGTTTATTTTCCTTGTCAACGGGATCAGAAGACAGGCAGTGTTTATTGTAAATAATTAAAGATATTTTTTGCTTAAATTTGATTCAATTGTTACATTTTTCTTTGTAAAAATAAAATAAACATGTTTTGACTTCACATAAAGTAAATAAGTTATGTTTAAATTTATACACACTATAGGTGGCCATAATATGACTATATATAGTGTCATTACAAAAACTGGCAGTTTTTGTAGTTCTTTTTTTAAACGAAAAGACCCACTTTACATAGCCTGTAAAATGGAAAGCAGTTACATACATGTAGTTTATTTATTCTTTTATTGAAATAAGACATAATTATAAAGTATGAATTTGATTGATTTCAATAAATTTGTGATTAAAATATTTTACTCAAGGATGAGCAAAGTATATCAGCAGCGCTTATATCTTTAGATAAAAAATAAAAAATAAGCACTAGCATTTCTATATCAGTGAAAACCAATGTCCTTTTCTGATAGCTAGTATATAATGCTCCGATATATTGCTCAAAGCTTAAAGAAAATATTAAGAAAAATATTCCATTTTTTGTCATTTTTAGCAAATCGCTGATAGAATGATTATATTTTATCGAAGATATTAAGTAATAAAGGGACATACAAATTATACTTTAGACAAAAACAGAATCAGAAAGAATACATAGTTTGAAGAAGAAAAATCGTTTACAAAAAGGCTACCTCTATATAAAATATAACTTGTGTTATATATAATTATATATTATATAAAGATTACTTACGTTATTCTTCCTGCTATGTGCATTAAGATGTCATATCTTATTCAGGTTTATGAGTGGCAGAATAATTGGGGTTCAGGCTTGTCGACTAAGGAGTTTGCTCAAATTCATGAACTTGACAAAACTATTACCCACTATGCAACAGATGAAAGCGCCTCGGCAAAAAGTTCCCCGGCTGTCAGCCTTTATGATCTTAACACGCGAGAAGATGATTTTAAAAAGGTACGTAAAATTATAGAAAATATTTTTCATTTGTTTCTGTCTTTGATTTTCTTGGATTTTAAGTAACATCGACACTGTCAAGATCATATAAAGGCTTCCAATGTTTTCTTTCTGAACTATGACCTCACTATCACTTTCGTGCATTATTTTAGGCATGCTGAAAAAAGGGCTTACCAGATATAATGTTAAATGCATGTCATTTGGATACGTCATTATACGTAGCATGACGTTGACGAAAATATAATAACATGTAAACCACTGCTTAAAATATTACCTAAAATGATTCCCCCGATTCCTAAAATCATTTAGATTTGACAAGCAAGCCGCCAAACATGATCATATAGAAAATATTTAAAAATGTGGCTTCCAAGATTTACTTCTGAACCAAGGCATCACGTTCCCTTTCGTGCATTATTTTAGGCATGTGGGAAAAATGTCTTACCAGGTAGAATGTTATAGGCCAGTTGGTAACGTCATTATATGTAGCATGACGTTGACGAAAATATAATTACATGTATACCACTACTTAAAATATTACCTAAAATGATTCCCCGATTCCTAATCAAGCAAGCCGCCAAAACATGGACATACATGTATAGAAAATATTCAATAATGTGGCTGATTTGTGCCATGTCGTATTTTCGGAGCAAAAATACAAGTTTGCACAAATCAGCCACCAAACAAATATGAGAGTTTACATCATTAAGGACACCGCCGTTCATGATACGTGTTCCTCCAAAATCTGATCATTTAATACAGTGTTATTAATAGCTATGAAAATTACAGGGAGTTAGGATAAATACATTTGGGAACGCGGGGGTTGAAGGGTAATAGAAGGGATTAGAAGAACAAACTTACAGAAATGGTGAAATATATTTACAATTTAAACAAAGGAACCACTACACAAAACATTTACACGATTACAAGACAGTCAATGTTTCTTGTCGTATCTCGTTTTCTTTCTTTTTTACAAAGTTCCCCAAAAAGGCATATTTATAGAGAGTGTTTCGATAACAAATATGCATGTTTAAATACGGTATTACATTCAACAGCGTATTATACTGTACACTTCTTAATATATTCATTCTAATAGAAACGGTACAGTTTGAAAAGTTTCGACGTAGTTAACTTATAGCAATGCAGTAAAGAGTTATTCTCTCACATCTCACAACTCGAATACTAATTAAAAATTACACGAAGACGTCTTAATTCGGCCGTCCAGTTTGCTCAGCAGATAGAGCGTTTTCCAGGCTGTGAATCGAGCGACTCGGGTTCGATTCCCGGACGGTGCATGACACATTCTTTGTGATTGAGCATAAAATCCGTTCTACGCTCATTCGCACTGTACCTCTGTTCTGGCTTGTACAGAAGTAATCAGTTCCCTGCGAAAGTGAAGGCAACTGGTACTGGTAAACTTATTGACAGCCTGTCCAGGGATGAGGCGGTGGTTAAACTGCGTTTGGTTAATTCAGAGTGGCTTACTACCAATACCACCGCAACCATGTCTTGATTCATCACCATTTACAGTACATGTTGTATTATTTTTAACATAAAAATATGAAGAGTCTTTTTTGTTGCATTATTTTTGTTTAATCTTTCAGGGAATAGTTGCTATTAGACCACTTGTGGCAAAAGGCAGTCAAGTCTGTTTCATTTCACAAGTGGTAAAATACTGGCCTGGAACCGAAAAAGCTGTAACTAACCGGCATGGGGTATGATATTGTGTGCTTATATTATTCAATTTAAGTTTGATACGTACATTATAAAGTAAACACTAAACTATTATTCGCTTTAAGTTTGATAAGTAAATTGTGTAGTAAACACTCCAAAAAATATTTTAGAATGTTTTTAGCCTACTTCAAGAGTTTTAATCGATCATTGGCGTCGTGATAAGACATCTGTTTTAATTGGTTTGAAAAGGTTTCAGGTAGTTTTAAGAATCGACCTTTAAGAACCGGCTGCCGTTACAGATTGGAATATCTAGCTCAATGGTTAGTGTATACGGGGTTTACCGAATTTTCGCTATAAAAAGTTAGCCGAGGGCTAAAAATATTCCCGTCTGTACCGACATACGGTGTTTGAATCTTTTTTGCATATTATCACCGTGTATATCCAGTAACGCAGGAATGTGTAAATAACGCAGGAATTGTGTTAAAGTAAGGCATAATTGTGCAATTTATTGGCTAAAAACGAGCACCGCGATAAGTAAATGTATCAATATTTTGTCTTGATAAGACACCTTTTTTTATTGGTTTGAAAAGGTTTCAGGCAGTTTTAAGAATCGACCTATAAGAACCGGCTGCCGGTACAGACTGGAATATCTAGCTCGATGGTAAGTGTATACGGGGTTTACCGAGTTTCCGCTAAACAGTTAGCCGAGAGCTAAAGATATTCCCGCCTGTACCGACAAACGGTGTTTGAATTTTTTTCTTGTATATTATCACCTAGTATATCAAGTAACGCAGGAATGTGTAAATAACGCAGGAATTGTGCTAAAGTAACGCATTATTGTGCAATTTATTGGCTAAAACGAGCACCGCGATAAGTAAATGTATCAATATTTTTTGTGCACCAAATGAGAAGAAATGAAGCGCATACAGTTGCTAAGACATTTTACTTTGAACCTCATTAAAATATTTCCATGAAAATGTTTATTTTTCATTCGTATATGTGTATGTATAAATACAATAACGTATATATTACTTTATGATTTTTTTTATATTCCGTTTACCTGAAATACTTTCCAATCTATTCGTGTCATGTTACACAGAATTTAGCAGATAAAACGTAATTGAGACCTTTTTTACGAGGTAACGCTGAATGAAGCACTGAAGTATCGGCGGTTATCTACGAAAGACCGGTGGGGACATTTCAACTTCATAAATTCCTGATTTCATCTTCGTGAATTCACGATTTCAACTTCACGAAATTACGATTTCAACTTCAAAGTGAAATCGTGTATTCACGAAGTTAAATTCGTGAAGTTGAAATTGTGAATTCGTCAAGTGTTGAAGTCGTGAATTCATGAACTTGAAATCGTTGAATTCGTGAAGGTGAAATCGTGAACTCATGAAGCCGAAATCATGAATCCCGTATGTTGAAAACATGAATTCGCGAAATTAAAATTGTGAAAAGAAAA